GAAGGGATCAGCTCCCAGATTGCCAATCCAACCATGGAATCACCCAGAGGTTCCTTCTCAGCCCTCACACAATCCCTGAGTGGGTCCAAGTGCAGGAACCCAGAGAGGCCTCAGCACCACRGGGATTTCTGTCCCCACTCAGGGCATCCTCACCAATGCTCAGGCAGGACAGAGCCAGTGAGGGCAGGAGAGAGCCCAGCCCAGGGCAGCACAGGAACCAGGGTGGGGACAGGCTGGGGGGAACTGCAGAGAGCCAGGATCACCAGAGCACCCAAGAGCTGGGGGGAACTGCAGGGCACAGATTCAGGATCACCAAAGCACCCAGAGATTGAAGGGAATGGCAGAGCAGAGATCCTGAATCTCCATTCACCCAGAGATTGAAGGGAAAGGCAGAGCAAAGATTCAGGATCTCCAAAACAGCACCCAAGGGCTGAAAGGAAAGGCAAAACAGAGTTTCAGGATCTCCACAGCACCCAAGGGCTGGAGGGAAAGGCAGAGCAGAGATTCAGGATCACCAGAGCACCCGGAGATTGAAGGGAAAGGCAGAGACCCAGGATCTCCAGAGCAGCACCCAAGGGCTGGAGGGAAGGACAGAGCAAAGATTCGGGATCTCCACAACACCCAAGGGCTGGAGGGAAAGGCAGAGCAGAGACCCAGGATCACCAGAGCACCCAAAGGCTGGAGGGAAAGGCAGAGCAGAGATCCTAAATCTCCACTGCACCCAGAGATTGAAGGGAAAGGCAAAGACCCAGGATCTCCAGAGTACCCAAAGGCTGAAAGGAAAGGCAGAGTAAAGATTCAGGATCTCCAGAGCACCCAGAGAATGAAGGGAAAGGCAGAGCAGAGATCCTGAATCTCCAGAGCACCCAGAGATTGAAGGGAAAGGCAGAGCAGAGATCCTGAATCTCACTGCACCCAGAGATTGAAGGGAAAGGCAGAGCAGAGATTCAGGATCTCCATTCACACAGAGTATGAAGGGAAAGGCAGAGCAGAGATCCTGAATCTCACTGCACCCAAAGGCTGAAAGGAAAGGCAGAGCAGAGATTCAGGATCTCCACAACACCCAAGGGCTGGAGGGAAAGGCAGAGCAGAGATCCTGAATCTCCAGAGCACCCAGAGATTGAAGGGAACGGCAGAGCAGAGATTCAGGATCTCCACAGCACCCAAGGGCTGAAAGGCAAGGCAGAGCAGAGATTCAGGATCTCCATTCACCCAGAGATTGAAGGAATGGCAGAGCAGAGATCCTGAATCTCACCGCACCCCAAGGATTCCCTTCTGAGCAGCAGCAAGGCCAGGCTGCCCTCAGCGGGTCCAGCAGAGTTCTCAGACACCCCCAGGCTCCCAACCCTTTCAAAGTCAGGCATTTTCACACCATCACCATCCACAGCCGCCTTTTACCCCATTATCACAAACCCCATCCACATCCCAGCATTGCCAAAGAGCAGCGATTGCTTCAAACCGCGATTGGGCAATGCCCGCTTACCTCAACGATTTCCAGCAGCTCAGGTTTATCTATGCAGCCATTCCCATCCTTGTCATACACCTTGAACGTCCACCTCAGCTTGTGTTCCAGCTTTCCTCGCAAAACAAGGTTCAAGGCAGCCACATACTCCAGAAAATCGATGGTGTTATCCTGTGCAAACAGAAAAAAAAGTGACACTCAGCTGGGTAGGAAGGTGATGGAAAACTGCTCTGAAAGTGCCAGAAAAGCTGRGTTAAAACTGACAGAAAGATTCTGCATGGGGCAGGGATTTTTTTTTTGGCATTTTAGAGAAGGTTTGTGCTGGTTCAGGAGCAGCAGCAGGCACAGCCACACCCCTGAGTTTAGAGTCTCCTGCCCATCCCTCTGCCACACACCAGCATCCCTCAAAAACATCCCYCAAATTCCCTGTCCTGTCAGGAAACTCGGATAAATCAGAAATTGCACTTCATCTTTTATGCACAGTTCGCTGTGCAGCCTTTTCTGCGCAGCTTTCATAACAGAATTCGGGACCTGAACATTTCCTTTTTGGCAGAAATTTGAGTTTTTAAAACTTGGAATTCGAGTTTTTAAAACTTGGATTTCGAGTTTTTAAAACTTGGAATTTGAGTTTTTAAAACTTGGAATTCTGAGACAAGCCTGACCTGCCCACACCTTCCACACCCTTTTTTAATCTTTTCCCAACTTTTGCTGCCACTTCAATGTGATTTTGCCCCTGTTTTCAAAGGAAGCTTAAGGGAGATCAGTTGATCAAAGATGAACGACCTGAGCCCCCTTTTCCTGTACTGACACAAGGAACAAACACCCCCACGCTTGGAATTGATCAAGAGCTTGGAATTGCTCCAGAGCATCAGGAAAATGATGATTGAACCATTTGGCAAATGTTTSTGACCCACGTCAGGATGAGCAAGGAGCTGAGTTACACCAGAACCCAAAACATCGCTGCCGTGCAGGAAYTGTGATAAACCAGAAAAAAAACCACTTTTCCCAGGTGTCTCCCCTCAAAGGGAATCAGAACCAGAATGTCTGAATTGTTCAGCATTCCTTCGCTTTTGGAAAGCAAAGCAAAAATCAGTATTTTATTTCAAACCTGTTCGTTCTTGATATAAACATTTCCCCCAACACAGAACCAGCCTGAGTGGGATTTGTCTGCTGTGATTTCCCCTCTGTCACAACAGAGAAATATTTTTGCCATGGAGGAGCCTTGCCTATCTGAGGCTTTTACAATTCTGCCTCAAAATGCCTCAATTTTAACCTTTTAARGGGCCATTCTGACCTTAATTGAGCAGAGATTTGAGGAGATAAATCCGGACCAGCCTGTGTCCCTCGCCCCTGCCTCAGCCCCAAAAAGGGTGGGCACCCAAAACCTCCGGGTCACGGAGATCAGATGGAAATTATTGCACAAACAACTGTCAAACCTCCTCAGCACTTACCCCGTTCTTGTCAAAAGCCCTGAACATGTTCTCCACATATTCTGCCGCCTCCTGGTTATCCTGGACCCCAAAAAACCGCTTGAACTCGTGCATGAAGAGGGTCCCGCTGGGACATTCCACCACAAATTTCTTATACCACTCCTGCAGCTCTGCGACGTCAATCTCTCCCTGCTCCCCTTCAGCGTTGGCAAACTGCTGTCCCATTTTCCTCCGGAAAGCAGGATTAAAAACAGACGGGAAAGAAGGAAAACCCTGCCAAAGTCCGTTGTTCTTTTTCTCCTCGCTGTCTCGTGTCTTTATCTGATGTTAATGCTGTGTCCTGCCCTGTCACCTCCTCTTTTTGGTCCTTTTTTTCTCTCGTTCCTCCTCCCAGTGCAGCTCCGTGCGCTCCCCAGATCTCGGAGTGGCTGCTCTGCCCCGGAGCTCTGAGCACTGGGCAAGGATAAAAATAACTAAAGATCATTAGGAGATTCCCACCTATGAGCCCCAGAGACCTTCAGATGTTCCGAGCTGTGCCCTATTTAGAAACAAACTGCAGGGGCTCAGGCTCTTTCTACGCATTAACGCTTCCAGGTCAGAGAATTTGGGAGCAGGGGTTCCCTGTATACACAGCACACAGACCCACTCTCTGGACTGAAGGGTTTGCTAGGGGAAAAATGGGATTTTTAAGGGAAAGAACATGAATTTGTTCAATGCTGGTTTGTATTACCAGGTTACTCAGTGCTTCAGTGAGATGGGGCACAGGAACAAACAACAATTACAGAGAGAAAATCCTGGAAAGGCAAACACTTCCATAAAAACCCTGCTAATGCATTAAATTAACTGAGTGTCTGCTTAGGCTGTGCTCTGCTCAATGGTTGAGAGAATTGTAAAGGCACCCAGACACAAACACACACATTCCTCCTATTGTCACGTTGCCACATTAAACTAAAAAGAACAGGAATTGTTTATTTCCATCTTTTTAAAAGCATCTTCTCCTTATTCCTCTCCCCTTTTTGTGCCTTTATCCATGGAAATCCTCCTTGTGCTCACCCTTTCCCCTGAGCATCGTTTAGTGCTTTGATCACAGACCCAAAGTGCAGCTCTGCCCTGGGCTCTCTGTGTTCAGCTCAGCTCAGAGCCACAGCTCAGCCCCTCCAAACCCAGAGCCCTCTCCTGCTCCTGCAGGAACCCCCAAACATCCTGTCCAGGATYCCAGAGGTGCTGAACCCTACAGGAATCCCTCCAGCACCCCAGAGGAGCTGAACCCTGCAATGACCCCCCAGCAGGAGCCCCCAGCCGTCCTGCCCAATATCCCAAAGGTGCTGAACCCTGCAGGAGCACACCCAGCTGTCCTGCCCAACATCTCCGAGATGCTGAACCCTACAGGAACCCCCCCAGCATCCCAGAGGAGCTGAACCCTGCAGGAACCCTCAGTAGCATCCCCGAGGTGCTGAACCTGGAGGAGCCCCCAATATGCCTGAGGTGCTGAACCCTGCAGAAACTCCCCCCAGCATCCTGCCCAACATTCCCAAGGTGCTGAACCCTGGAGGAGCCCCCAGTAGCATCCCAGAGGGGCTGAACCCTGCAATGAACCCCCCACAGCATCCCCAAGGTGCTGAACCCTACAGGAGCCCCTAGTAGCATCCCAGAGGAGGTGAACCCTGCAGGAAACCCCTGAGCCATCCTGCCCAACATCCCCAAGGTGCTGAACCCTACAGGAACCCCTCCAGCATCCCAGAGGATCTGAACCCTGCAATGAACCCCCAGCTGTCCGGCCCAACATCCCTGAGGTGCTGACCGCTCTGCAGGATCACCCAGCAGCATCCCAGAGGGGCTGAACCCTGCAGGAGCACCCAGCAGGAGCCCCCCCAGCCATCCTCCCCAGGATCCCCGAGGTGCTGAACCGTACAGGAACCCCCAGCCATCCCAGAGATGCTGAACCCTGCAGGAACCCCCAACATCCCAGAGGTGCTGAACCCTACAGGAACCCCCCACAGCATCCCTGAGGTGCTGAACCCTACAGGAACCCCCCACAGCATCCCTGAGGTGCTGAACCCTACAGGAGCACCCAGCAGGAGCCCCCAGCTGTCCTGCCCAACATCCCAAAGGTGCTGAACTCTGCAGGAGTCCCCCCAGCCATCCTGCCCAACATCACAGAGGTGCTGAACCCTACAGGAACCCTCAGTAGCATCCCAGAGGTGCTGAACCCTGGAGGAGCTCCCAAAATCCCAGAGGGGCTGAATCTTGCAGGAACCTCCCCAACATCCCTGAGGTGCTGAACCCTGCAGGAACCCCCCCAGCCATCCTGCCCAGCATCCCCAACGTGCTGAACCCTACAGGAACCCCTACAGCATCCCTGAGGTGCTGAACCCTACAGGAGCCCCCGGTAGAATCCCAGAAGGGCTAAACACTGCAGAAACTCCCCCCAGCATCCTGCCCAACATCCCCAAGGTGCTGAACCCTGGAGGAGCCCCCAGTAGCATCCCAGAGGGGCTGAATCCTGCAGGAATCCCTCCAGTATCCCTGAGGTGCTGAACCCTGCAGGAGTCCCCCCAGCCATCCTGCCCAACATCACAGAGGTGCTGAACCCTGGAGGAGCCCCCCGTAGCATCCCAGAGGGGCTGAACCCTGCAGGAACCCTCTCAGCCATCCTGCCCAACATCCCAAAGGTGCTGAACCCTACAAGAACACCCAGTAGCATCCCAGAGGAGCTGAACCCTGCAATGAAGTCCCAGCAGGAGCCCCCAGCTGTCCTGCCCAACATCCCTGAGGTGCTGAACCCTGGAGGAGCTCCCAAAATCCCAGAGGGGCTG